GTAGCGCCCTCATTCATTCAGTCAAAATTCCCAGATTAAGAAAAATAATATGATGGCAGCGAACAGCAATAAAATTACATCCATAAAACAAATACAAAATGCACCAGAAAAATCAGATTTAATACTTCAACATAGCTAGATCACTCCTTGGGGGGAAGCATGGGTGAGCAGGGTTGCCAGAGCACTATGCCAATCATTTGCGGGTTCTTTTTTCAGTCAGCTGAGTCACCCAGAAAGTCTTCCAGAATCTTCTATCTCAGTTCAGCTCATCTGTTGGTGAATTCCCACATGGGAATAAACTCTTCACCCATTCCAGTTCTGTTTAAAAGCTCCCTTGACCAACTACATGTTTTCTGCGGCACCCTTGTGGGGCTCAGGAGCCCAGTTGTGTCACCCCTTGTTTGCAGAGCTGGCAGCCTCTCATCCTTTTTTGAACATCTTCCATTGTTAAGTGTTCCCTCAGCCTCCTCTCACCACCTTTGGGCAGCTACAGATGTCACCCTGGTCTCTGAGCTGCTCTCCCTGCCCAAGAGAGGTGCCTTCTCACAGTGTCCCACAGCGGCCTGGGACTTGTCTGTCCATTCCCAACAGCAAGGGCTGGTGGACTGGCTAGCTGGGCTCCCTCACCCACTTGCTTGCTTAGTCCGAGGCCGCCTCAGCTCCTGGCAACCAGCATCCCCTGACCAGTCCCAGAGGCACCATTCACCTGGGCAGCTTGTAGCCAGGGCTGCTGCAACAAAGAGCCATACAAGCCCTTGGGAGGCAGAGACACAAGAAGGCATCAGAGGGAGGGAAGAAAAGAGGGACAGAGGCCAGTGTTGCCCACGGCACCCTGACCATCCTTCAAGGCACCCCAGGGTGTCATGGCATACTGATTGAAAACCACTGGCTTAAATTATTTAATGAATAATTACTACAACTTATACAACTACTGGTCTAAGGAAAATGAAGTAAAACTATGTAACAGATAATTATTTCTCCTCTTTGCTCTTTAGCCATCTGGGCAAAGTAACAGCCACATCACTTCTCTCCCCTTTGGAGTCTGTCTAATTAATAAGTATGTTGCTAAGGAAAACCTGTTGCTGGGGGAAGACCTGTTGTTGGGAGAAAACTTGTTGCTAGGGGCAAAACTATGCAAGGATCATTTCAAGTCTGCAGTACACTAACAAGGGTGAGTTATAAGCAGGTGTCAAAATTCCAGTAGGTGCCTTCCTGATATTTACTGGAAGTGCATTCCAAAGGACAGGTGCCACCACACTAAAGGCCCTGTTCTGAGTGGATACAAGATGAACCTCAGAAAATGTCACTCCTGAGGATCAAAGTGACCAGGCAGCAGTATGCAAGGCAGTGGGATCCTGGAGGCCCTAAGTTGATCATGCCATTACATGCCCATAGGAATACCTTAAACCTGGCCTAGTGGTACATCAGCAGCCAATGCAGCTCTTTCAGCACAGGCAGGGCACCTCCTTCAGCAATTTTGCTGCAGCATTCTGCACCAGCTGCACCTTAGACATCTGCACTACTTATCAGTGTGTGTGTGTGTGTGTGTGTGTGACAGAGGGACAGCCACCTGCAGCCTCCAGCCCTGCAATCAGTTAATCCTTTCATTACTGATGCTGCTCCCTCAGATTCCTTGTTGTCTGTACGGAGATCGTGAACTTTGTAAATAAGAGAACAGAAGGCTGGGGGAAGGGACAGGGATAGGCTTTGGTTGTTCCCAGTCTCAGAGGCAGCTAGCCCTACTTTCCCCCTGGAATGCCATTTTTGAAGAGAAAACAACAAAGGGGTCTTGAGGCACCTTGAGGACTAGCAGATTTATTATGCTGTCCTCTTTTATGTGCTATAGACAGTCCACCTCATCAGATGTACGAAGCCTTATCCCAAATTGCAGATACATAAACAGATGTCTGGGTGCACAGGAATATAAAAAGTGAAGTTAAAATGCAGAAAAGCACAGCCAATGGTGACTACCTACTGAGCAGTAGTAATTCACAAAGCAGTTTTTGATGACACAGACACCCTGGCATTGGTAACTGGCATATAATGTGTTAAGAATCCTTGATTGCATTTCAATCCACCAATGCCAGCGCTGGTTTCACATAGCAAGGACCTTTGCTCCAGGACTGCTGCTTTTAAGGTCACATCCAGAGTGTCCTGGGAAGGTTGAACAGTTCCCCCGCAGTCTTTTGGATATTGCCATTTCTGAACTATGCATGGCAGGGCATCTTCCCTCTGTGCAAGAGTAGCTTTCGTGACAAATTACCAGCAACAGGGGTCCCTCTATCCACCTTCTGCCAGCCTCTCTGCATCTAACCCAGGCGCCTTAGGGTTTATCTGGGGAGCGGCATGTATGCAGTGATAAGGGCTCCTTGCCTTGCTTTGCATCCTCCTACTATTATTAGGTGTGCGGGTCACATTTGTGGCTAAAGCTCAATTGCAATAGCACTTGTATTAAACTCATTCAGCACGAGGAAGAAGAACAGCCTAATGCTTAATCTTTCCCCAGGACTGTCTGGACAGAGCTCCCACCCTGCTTCAGGGAAGATGAGACCAGACTGGTTTGCAGAGGGTGATGTCATTGACTGGCTAGACAAAGAGGAATGGTGGGAGGCACCAGCTGGGGAACCCCGAGGGGAAGAAGGCTCAGGGCCAGGGAGTTGGTGGTGGGACAACAATGAGTGGTCAGAGGAAGAAGACTGAGAGGAGCAGGTGTCAGAAGCTGAAAAGGTAACAGGGCTTGGTGAGCAGGGGGAGTCTGTGGCAGAAAGAAGTCCAGAATCAGAGACAGAAGCGGAGGCTGCAGGGCAAAAGGCAGAGATAAGTCAGGCTGCTGAAGGAGCCAGGGTCTTGCTGCAACAATCTCCCCTCCCCACTGGGCTCCCAAGACCAGAAGCGGTATGAAGAGGGAGGAACAGACACAGATTTGCAGGGCTAGTCTCAGGTTGCTTGGGAGAACCTGGAAGGGGGCGATTTAGGCAGCTGTGGGAAGGCAGGGACCTCCAGCCCCTACAACTGCCTCATAGGGGCAAGACCTACTGTGCCCATTGGGCTGGTGCTCTTGAGCTGATCTTGTTTCTTCTAAGGAAGAGTTTACTTTATGTGATTTATTTATGACACCAGCTCTTGACAGACAGGATACACATCTTTCCCAGAAAATCAGGTTTTGGGGGAGTAAGGAAAATGATGGGGAAGTAAAATGCTGAAGAATTTTCACAAGGGCTTTTCTTTAAAAATAAGTAAATCACAGACTGATATGCAAACGTGAAGAACTGAATGTTAAGGTTGAAAAAATGAGGAACCGAAACAGAAGAGATTTGCCCGTCCTTATAGCTTGACAAAACAGTCTGCCTGGAAGCAACCGCAAAATTATAGCTGCAGTGATTCCAGCTCTCCACACGGGAGCAGCACTTCACCTCTTCCAAAAATAGTGGTTTTTACAAAATTTGTTCCTCTCCAGCTTTGCTAGATCAGAAATAATGGGCAACGACAGCTTGGGAAATCGGGGCGGGAAAATGGTTTATTATAAGGAGACACTTATAATAAACCAGACTGGGGCTTCACCCCTTATCAGATCACACCTTAGGGGGGGGCAGACATCCTTTCTATTAGTTGTATTTTTATATTCTGTTGAAAGCTGCCCAGCGTGGCTGGGGCAACCCAGTCAGATGGGCAGAGTACAAATAACAAATGATGATGATGATGAATCTATCGAGCCTTTTCTACTTTTTGCATCATAGCCACCAAACAACTGTGACACTTCCCCATTACAGGTTCTCTGCTCCCCGCTCAAGTAGTGGCCACCTGCAAATCTCCAGACAAGCAAACACAAACACCTGCAAACTAGATGCCTTCAGGAAGAATCAATGATACCCTCCTCTGTTTCTTTCTTTGCCCCCAAGAACCCATGTACAGTGCTGTATTCAGACCTGTGCAGCCTCAAATATCAAAGTTGGTCCATAGTGCTGGAGGGGAGATAAAGATCTGGGCCAAAGAAGGTTCCTCACTACTATTCTCCATCTTTTACCTGCCCCCTCCCCCAAGGAAACACTTTGTGTGTGTGTGTGTGTGTATTTCATCAGTCTACCTGGGACAGAATGACCCAGGGGTGGGATTAGGAAAAGAGAAATAACCAGAGGGAATGGTACCCATAGCACTGTCTCACAATTCCAAATGTGCCAACAGCCCCCCCCCCCAAAGTTAGTAACCTCTGTTTGCTTATTTATGGACTAGCACTTGAGACCCTACCTGGCAGGATACATGAATAGCTTCAGCATGAAAAACTTGAGGCATCCTTTTCAAGTATGATGCAACAAACACAAGGGTGGGATCCTGGGTGCTTCCAGACTGATGCTATTTTCAGGAGGGATTCAGTCCCATAGCAACAAATACAGCCTGCACAGTTTAGTTGTTTGGGAGGTCTCCTAATCTCCCCCCCCCCCCATCTCTGATCTCCTTCACACAACTAAAATTGCCAGAGTTCCCTGGGAAGAGGGAGTGGCTGTTAAATCAGTTTAAGTCTGTGGTGTGGATGTGCCCTAAATCTTCTGCACACGCACAAAAAAACCTTACTAAAAGTGTACCTAAAGCACTTTTTAAAAAATATCATTTATACTTCTTCCAAAAAAAAAAACCCACCACCTTTAAAAAGTAAAAGTTAATGGAGTGAGGTAGACACATAGTTAAACGAACAAAACTTAACACCTGCACCAAATAGTTCAATCTTGTTTAGACAGCTACTCTGAAGTAAACCCTGGCAATTTCAATGGGACTTACATCCAGGTAACTGCGGACAGGGTTCCACTCATCACCTCAATACAGTTTTGGCCCCACAGCACAGAAAAAAACCCAGCCCGTCATCTATGCATTTGGACAAAAGATCCGACTCATCTCATCTCCAAGTCAAATTGCTTTCAAACAGACTCTCTCTCACACACACATACATACACAAGCCACTCTGCTTTCTCAGCTCAACAAACACACCAAGTACCCAATGCTTCATCTCCAGCAGAGAAATGTGGTGTTAAGGACATTTATTTATTTATTTATTTATTTAAGAGAAAGTTTAAAGCCTGTAGATACAGCAATAAAATATACAAAACATACTATTAAGATATTTACGCTCTGGGGAGCAGTTAGCTATAGAGGGAAAAAATAGGAAATTTTTGGCGGTGGTGAAGCTTGGTACTAAGAATTTGGGGTACATAAGCTATTTTGGAATGAGGGCAGCTTTGCACTAGTTGGAACACTTTCTAAGGCTTGACATTTCTGAAGGAGGCAAGTTCTCTTCTTAACAGCAAGGGTCTGCTTTTCCCTCCAAAGGTTGCTGAACTACAACTCCCATGAGCCCCAGCCAGCATTCCAGGTTGAGGAAGTCTGGTGTAGGGAAAGAGATCAGTCCGACAGCTCTGACCATGAAATGCCTCCTGTTTAGACAACGCCTCTAAGTAATACTGGAAAATACTTGTTGCATCATTCTCTCTCGGCACCGGGAGAGCCCATTGGGCAATTGCAGAGCTGAAAGGGACCTTAAGGGTCACCTAATCCAAACCCCCTGCAAAGCAGGAATCTGTAGCTGTGATTCCTCACTCCTTTGGGTTCCCGCCCATCTCTACAAGGCTACGATTCTATGAACTCACACAAGCCCAACAGCTGAGATTTACAACTAGATTATCAGCATCTGAGTTCTAGTTTTCCTATGCTGGACTGTCAATTGTTAACTCAGGCAAGCAACAGCCGACTAGCGTCAGGTACAGCTCAGGCTTAAGCCCCAGAAGGTGGAGAGAATGATTGGGAAGATAGTAATAAAAAATATTACAGCCGAGAGTATTAAAAAACGGGAAAGCGTAGGAAATGGGCAAGCCAAACAAAGCGCGGTTTGGGGTGGGAGAGGAGAGGAGAGACGCTGGCAGGAACGGTTTTTTTTGCCTCTTTGCTCCTAACACAACAGCTAAGATGAGAGTGCAGTGGCTAGAATCAGGAGACCCAGGTGCAAAGCCTGACTTAGCCAGAAAGCTCAGGCCTATTGCTGCCTAATCTACCTCACAGGAGGAATCCTTCTCATCCCTAACCTACACCGCAAGGTTGTTGAGAGGATAACAGGATGAGGGGAAAGGAAGGGGCGGAGGTTTGCATGCTGCCCAGGGCTCCTTCAAGGAAGGGCAGGATAAAAGTGCAATAAATAATAATTAAAAAAAAGAAAGATAACCGGAGTGAACAAATCTCCAAGTGTGAATCTAGCAGTTGAGCTCTTGACTCAGCTTGGTTGCCTCATGTGGGCTTAAGAACCAAAGAGAAGAGCTCTCCGCAGTCCCCAATGACCTGAAGCCCTGCCTAAGAAGAGACAGAGAGAGAGAGAGAGAGAGAGAGAGAGAGAGAGAGAGAGGGAGGGAGGGAACTGAGTGATAATTTGGGTGACCTGGGTCAAATTCCCCACTTCCACCATGGATCGCTCCGTTAACGGTGAGCACATAATTCTAACAACCTTCGTTCCCTATCTGTAAAATTGGAATTAGCCAAAAGCTGGTGGAAGAAAAGTTATTTTAAAAATAGAAATTTCCGGAGCTGGCAACCAAGTGCAAAGTGTGCACAGGTGTCCAATGCCCCTGGCATTTCTCTAGCCCTGGGGAACACAGGTATCTTACCTTGAAGGGCTGCTGTGCTAGGCCTACGTTCGCCTTCGCATCATTTGGCAAGTTTTTTTTTTTAAAAAAAGCAGAGGTGGGCCAGTGGGAGGGAGGGAAATGGAGCTTTAATGTGGGCAATGAAACAGAAAAAAATTGCACCAATATCTAAGAATGATACCCCCACAATTTCTTCTTCCTTCCCCTCCTGCCTACACTTGACAACACGGCTTGTCGAATAGACTGGGTAAAAACCTTGGAAGTTGGCGTGAGCTGCACAAGCAGCCTTTTGCGGCATGCAGCAAACATGTACAGGAGGCCAGCTATGTGGACATGAAGAGGCACTTGGTCTAGCGAAGACAAACAGAAACACCCCTTATACAAGTAGCTTTTATACATGAGGGAGAACTTTTTTTTTCTTCTTCTGGGAGGGAAAGCCCATCTAAAATTAAGCAGGGCTTTCCCTCCAGTCACGCAAGCTCAGGCAAGGAGCTGCCTGCGATGGTGTATTCGAAAGCGGCTCAAGACGGACCCACAATCAAACGTCTCCAGCTGAGGCAGAGATTGAGTGCCAATTGGGCTCATCCGACAATGCAAGAAGAAGAAGAAGAAGGTGTTTCTTGTGCCAGGGAAATGCAGAACCGATCAGCTGCCCAGGAGGAGTCCAATCACATGGGAGAGTTGGCGCTCTCAGCGGCCATCTCCATGTCGAAGACTTGCAAGGACTCTGTGGGAGATACGGAAAGAGAGTTGAATGGATGTGATCCAGTTGCTGCAGCAGCAGGGATCCCTGCCAATGTCAGAGATGGTTCAACGTGTCCTGGAAAGAGGACAGATTCACAGCCTGCAGCACGCTCAAGGTTCTGCATATTCCTCAATGACATGCATAAGCAAAACAAACTGTAGAATTCCGTTCCTTGAGATCTCCAAGCTTCTAGCCTTATGCTTGCAAAGACTGTCTTTAAAGCCGGGCTGGAGAACCTTGGGCCTGAGGGTCAGATATGGCTTCTCTTATCTCTCCCCCTCTCTCCTTTCCACAGGACATACCCCTTGATGGCTATGCTTTGCATCCCAAATATTTTTGCATGACTGTAACATGTCCTTGAACTCTAATAACACCACTTGCTGACCTGGATGGAGTGGGTGTAGGAACTAGCCTACTCCACAAAGGTAAAAATCCGCACTCGTCCCTTTGTCCTTTCCCACCCACCACTGCTGTGGAGCTCTTGGGAGGCAGCACAGAATGCAGTGCAGCCCCCAACAACAACACAACCATTGGAGGAATCCTTTCTGGCCGGGATCAAATTGTGGTTTGCAACTCTAGTTCAAAGGGAGTGCTCAGACAATAGTTCTCTGGGTTGGACGCAACAAGAAACTGTGGTTTGATTAAAACAGGAAGGTAATGAATTAAGCTGCAGGAGGAGAGGGAGGGGGAGGAGGGTGTGTGTGTGTGAGAACGATGCTTGCTCACGATCCACTGAAATCAGAGGCGCTCGGACTTGTGGAATCTACGTTGACAAGGGTTGAAAGCTCAAGTTTCAGTAACCTGCTTCTAGAGGGCAGTCTGGATGCAGCCTCGGCCTGTCCTTTCCGTAATGAGATGCACGAGAGCAGAGCCCGCCCCCTTCCACCAAAGAAAACAGCACTGCGGACCACACACTCACCAAACTGGCCACTGGCGTTCCCCTCTGCTCCCTCACCATTACTGCCAAAATGGATCAGAGATTCGAGGGTGCGGGGTGACATAGGCAGTTCAATAGTACTACTGCAAGTGGTTCTGGGAAAGACATGTGGGGAGTGGGGGGGGGTAGAGAAAAAGAGGAGAGGGTACAGAAGAGAAGTACAAGTTATAAGTTGTAAAAGCCCCAAGGTCTCCAGAACCACCAAACTCTGCTCTGCACCATGAAGTACAGAGCTTTGACTCTCAACGAGATAAAACCCAACCTATATCTTTATGCATACGTGTGTGGCTGTGTGTGTTAGTAACTTTGATCCCTCCTTCTCTCTCTATGCTTTATAGGAGGTGCCTGCGGGATTTTGTTCCTCACTTGTGCACCGGGTGCAGTGGCGTGGTGGTTGGTGGATTGAACCACTTCCTCCCTGGGCACTTTTTCACCTGTGCTTCAGCTGTTTCTGAAGAGAGACCTCTTGTTTCCAAAGCACAGGTGCGGGAGGGAGCTCAGCTTCTCAGCAAGCCCCAGCTAATTGCTGTGCAGGACCTCTGGAGTCCCACCCAACCCTTTCAAACAGGGAAATACTCACGGGGTCACACAGATGAACTTGGTCTTCAGATATGGAGCAGCACCTGTTTTTGGAGTGGGGAAAGAGGAGAAGGTATTTGATAAGCTGGTATGTGCCGAAGAGCAGCAGGGACGTCTCCTCTTCAATATGCTATGACTCTGAAACCCTCTCCATAGAGAGGATTTGAAGGTGCGAGAGGGGGAAAAGAGGGGAACTGAGAATTGCCCCAAAACTATGGTAGGAGCCAGAGGGGGTGGTGCTGCTGCTGCAGCTGTTTTTGGGGCTTCTTAACCGCTAGCAATGTGCATATTGCTTCCATAAGCATCAGCAAACAATATAAAACTCACAGTGGACATGCCAAACTTCAGTTTGAAAAAGTTCTTGCCTTCACTCCTTTTTAGTTTGTAAAAAGCTGCAAGTCAGACTTCAGGCAACAATGACAATTGGCAACAATTCATATGGGCTTTTTTCCTGGCTTCCTATCTGTTCGCTTTTTTCACCAACCCGTTATGGTCACAAAAGGAAGAGCTGGGGATGTAATCAAAATAACCAAGCCAAGCCCGCTGCATATTGGAGAGGGTGGTAGAGGATGCTAGTCACATTTATTAGCAGCGTGAGACCTTTTTGTGGAGAAAGCCAAAATCCAAAAATGTCCCTGTAAAGTGGAGAACCAAAGGGCTGGAGCAAGCGCGGAAAGCCAACAACTACCTGGGTCAGTGACTTCGGGATGCTCCTGGCTCTCAGGGCGGCAGTATTTTCCAAAAGCCTCCTCCTTGGGGATATCAGGATACAAGTAGACAAGGGGGGAGACCAGGATGTTGGTGGCATCCATGATCTTATAGCCCATGATAATCTCAGCAAACGACATGCTGTTGAGCTGTTGCTTGGTGTACGGCTCCACCGACTGGATTTGTGTCTTCCCTACGGCAAAGGGTAAACAAGAGATTTGATCAAAGGGGACAGTTGTTATTTGCAAGGATAGCATGAAAAGGAGCACAATTTCTTGCTCAAATGAAGAGAGCCAGAGTCACATCAACAGCAAAGCTTCACCAGATCAAGGTAGTTGAAAATATATATTTTTAAATCACAAGATAAACTAAAAACTGACCATCATTGATGGGCGTGTCCCCTAACCATTGGCTGAGCTGCTATGGTGTCACTGAATGTACATTAATGCTACTTAGGAGTGTGCAACTGATGACTGGTACAACTTCTGCAAGAAGTAAGGTGTCAGTATGGGGTAATTTAGGATTAGAGCATATACTTTGCCTGCAGAATGCTGTAGGCTCAATCTATGCCATCCCGATGATTAAAGGATCTCTGCAGGGCTGAGAAAGACCTTTGCGTAAGAGAGATGGGCCATAGCTCAGTGGTAGAGCATCTGCTTTGTGTGCAGAAGGTCCCAGGTCCAATTCTCGCCATCTCCAGGTAGGGCTGAGAACGTCCTCCACCTGATGTACCTGGAGCGCCGCTGCCAGTCAGTGTAGACATCACTGAGCTAGATGGACCAAAGCTCTGACTCTGTATAAGGCAGCGTTCTTCATTCCTTCATTGACTGGCACAACAGTCAGGACCAAGTACTCTGAGATTTACCCGGATTTGGTATAAGCAGGGCTGCAATGTGTGAGCAATTAACCGGGTTCTAAAAACGGTTAATTGGCTAAAAAGCTGCACCCAATTAACAGGGCAGATCTTGTTAAAAACACGATCGCTAACAAAAACTGCTGGTAGCACAGAGGCCTTTCTTTCCAAGGAAGAATGTGTCCTTTTCTCGCCTGCTACGATACGTGCGTGCATCATCCGAAAAAGGAAAACGGGCTTGAGAAGAACGCAGCTTTTACACATAGGCAAACGTAATTAATAGATAAAAAGGAAGATCTGGCTTCAGCCCTAAGCATAAGGCAGCTGCAGTGGCATTCCTTACCGCTGATGTCCTTCTCCACCCAGGTGAAGGTGATCCCACCCTCCTTGCTGCTCTCACTGAATCGCAACAGGAAGGTGCCGGGGGGCTTTGTGCTCAGGATCGCTCTCTCCCGCTCCTTGCTGATGAATCCCATGATGTACCTGAGGAGGAAGAAAGGAAATATGAGGTTTTTATTGGCTTCCTTTCCTTTCCCTTGGCCCACCAAGCCAAACGTCAGGAGCCACGAAGAAGTTCCACTGGAAGGTTAGCACAGGGATGGGGAGTCTGCATCCCTCCAGGTAAGGGTGGATTCCTATCAGCCCCAATTCAGCATCACATACAGCGGGGTTTCCCGAACTTGGGTCTCCAGCTGTTTTCGGACTACAGTTCCCATCATCCCTGACCACAGGTCCTGCTAGCTAGGGATGATGGGGGTTGTAGTCCAAAAGCAGCCGGAGACCCAAGTTTGGGAAACCCTGATCTACAGGGCCGTGGGCACAGCATCTGTTTTGCATGCAGAAGGTCCCAGATTCAATCTCCAGGTAGAACTGGGAAGAGAGGCCCCTTCCTGGAAATCCACTGCCTCTCCATGTGTAGACAACAAGATGAACTAATGGTCTGACTCAGTACAATCGTACCTTCGTTTTTGAACAGTTTAGCTCTCAACGCTTTGGTTCCTGAACGCCGCAAACCCAGAAGTGACTGTTCCGGTTTGCGAACTATTTTTGGAAGCCGAAGTCCAATCGGGCTTCTGCAGCTCCCGATTGGCTGCAGGAGCTTCCTGCAGCCAATCAGAAGCCGCACCTTGGTTTCCGAACATTTTGGAAGTCAAACGGACTTCCGGAACGGATTCCGTTCGACTTCTGAGGAATGACTGTGTAAGGCAGCTTCCTATGTTCCCATCAGGAATACTGGGAGCTGGGAGCCCAACAGCCACTATAGGGCCACATGTTCCCCATCCCTGCTCTCCAACTTGTTAGGGTTTCTTTTGTTTACTGGATAGGCAGAGTGGCCTCTTGGGGAGAGAGAGATGCTGGCAACTGCGGTGACGTCTCTGGCAGATGCTCACCCTTCGTTCCACAGGGCCAAGATGTACTTCTTCACCAGGTCGATGATGTTGTCCAGCCAGACCCAGAAAGAGAATCCTTTGCCTGCCATGTTCTCCTGCAGTGATAAAAACAAAGGTTGCCCCCGCATGAACAAAATGGCAGGTGCACCTTGGGCCCCACCCAAGGCCACACCTAAGCTTTACAGAAGCCCCTACCTTGCAGAACTTTGCCCATGTTATCTGACATCCGGAGTAATTGACGCCAGGGCCTGTAGAGTGAGAGGGAAGAAAAGTCATTACAGAGAGCTGGTGTAGTGGTCTGAGCCTCAGGTGAGGGCCTAGCAGGGCCAGGTTCAAATCCCACCCATTCCCACTCCTCAGCCACCATAGGAGCCAATGCATAGAGGCCAAGGCCCCTTCAGCCCCCATTTGAGGGGGCTGCACCCCTAAAGTTGTTGGGCATTGCCATTCAAATGGTATGTGTGCACTGCATCATGTGATTGATTATGAGGAGGGGGCCTACTTGCCCACCCCCCATATTTTGTTCAAGTTGGCACCCCTGTCAGCCACAAAGTACACTGGGGATCTTGGGCCAGTTGCTGCTTCTTAGCCTAACCTACTTCACAAGGTTTTTGTGAGGATAAGTGTGTGTGTGTGTGTGTGTGTGTGTGTGTGTGTGTGTACAAACATCCACATGTCTGTCACCTCGTGCTCCTTGGAAGAAAGGCATTTTTAAAAGGAAGCACACTGGGGGGGGGGGAGTTTAACACACACGCTATTCTTAAAAGGCTTGCCCGGGCTTTTCTAAACTGACGCCAACTTGAATATTTGATATTTTGGCTTCCTGGCATTCCACATGCCAACACTTTTTGCACATGCTTTGGTCCCAAGTTTGAATCCCACAGCTAAAAAGGGATTTCTGGTTGTGCACCTGGGCAAGGCTCCTCTCCCAGTTAAGAGCCAATACCCCTAGGCTGGGTAGCTCAGATGGGAAGACAGCAAAACCTTATGACCCACATCAGGGATGGGGAACCTCATGCCCCTCCAGGCCTCTCTGGACTTCCCCCAAGGCCACAACCCTTACAGGATCTGCTTCACACTCCTTGAGTGTTTTTGCCTGACGAGAAAGTGCTGCCAAAGTTTGATAATGTTTGCGGGTGGCCTGGACAGGAGGGCAGAGAGGGGCGTGTTCCGAGGTGGAAGCTTACAGCACAAAGGTAACATCCACATTTGTTTCTGCTTCTGGCCCTGTCCACCCCTGGCAAAGTGGCCCCCGGAAAGTTGGCTGGAAGGGCATGTGGCCCTTGCACTGCTGATCAAGGTTTCCTGCCGTTGGCCCACGTATAAGAAGGGGAGGAGCTTGTTAAGTTACCAAGCAGTTTCTCTGCCAGAGTTGTCAGCTGCTCTATGCTGAGGCCTCGCTTGGTGGTGGAGGAGAACTGCCAGCTGAGCACTTCGGCCACCTGGTCCCAAGTGCCAATGGGTGGTTTGGTGAAGAAGTTGACGTTCTGCCAAGAGAGGGACTCGGTCACAATCAGGAACAAACAACACACCCAGACAAAAACAAGTAAAACACCCTCCTGCTCTCGCCCTCTCTTTTGTCCATGCAAGGTTTGGGAAATTCAACGTACCTTGGGGTTGTTTGTCAGCATGTTGTACCACAAGATGGACGCCCAGGCGTTGGGCATCTGGCAAATGTTGGAGATCACCACCACAGGGAGGGAATGGGTCTACAGGGAAGGAAAGACAGCAGCTCTTGAGCACACAGACTAGCCTCTCTCTTTTTCAGGTCTCTGCTGGGCAACAGGAAACACCCCCGGGCTCCTGCTTCACAGCAGTCCAAACCACCAAGTTTCTAGACCTTATGCATCGTTATGAAGTTAATTGTCTTCGGGTAGGGAGACTCGTGGGACCCCTTTCCAACTCTTGCAGTGAAGCAAGCTGGAAATGCTGGTATGGCCATAACGGAAAAAGGAGGTGGAAGAAGGCATGCAACAAGCAGTTAGGTTTAAGAGACTTTATCTCTAGAGTTTGCCATCATTGTTTCAGTCTGGTCAGTTTTTCTGAGTTCTTTTTCATGGATGTTGTCAGTCTAGGTTTTCAAGATTTGGGGTCCACCTTTTGGATACAAGGCAACACCTTAATTTGGAGCCATCGCAGGTATTCCAATGCATAGTGCGATGGCCAACAGCTCAGGGGTGCAGCAGTTGCATTGCATGCAGAAGGTCCCAGGATCAATTCCTGGCATCTCCTGATAGGGCTGAGAAGGACTCCTTGCCTGAAACCCTGGGGGAGACACTGCCAGTTGGTGTAGACCAGGGGCAGCCAACTCTCCAGATGCTTCACACTTGAACTCCCATGATCCCTGACCATTTGCCATGCCGCCTGGTGCTGATGGAAGTTGTGGTTCAACAACCATCTGGAGAACATCACATTCTTAGTGCAGGGAATGCTGAGCTAACTGGGCGAATGCTCTGATTCTGGTCAATGGCAGCTCATGAATGGGCTGTTCCACTTATTTCGAAAGAGGGAGCAGGAAAGGAAATATGCAAACAGCTCTGCATCCTCCATCAAAATAGGAGTTGTCCGTTTCCTCCCCTCTCCATTTTTCTGGAAGCTGCTACCCTTGAGCATCGTTGCGGATGCAAATTGTAGGTTGTAGTGTACTGATATGGTTTCTTTCCTGCATTCTGCTCAATGCAAACTCCCAACAAGAAACCCACACCAGGACTACAAAAGAAGGTTTCTGGCAAGGTAGATTCCCAGTGCAACTGTAACACAAACCCACACACGCCACACCCCTGTAAAGTGGGTGGACTGTGGGGAATCAGCACAACCAGGGCTCACCTCTAAGTCAATCTTCAGGCCTTGGTGGTAAACTTCTGTCTCAAAGGTGATGAGATGGAGCTCTTCCGTGACGATGAGGGAGGCCTGAGGAGGAAGTGGAGAGTAAATGCGGGGGAAGATAATAAATATTTCTCTAGGGTATTTTTTTTTTTTGTCCCTTTGGAAAAAACACAGCAGCAACTTGCAATTTTGGTTTCGTTTTTAGTTCTGCTGAGCTAGGCTTAAGTGGAGAGACAAACAAAGGAATCAGCCTTTGAAAAGGTGCTCACAGGACTGATCTTCCCTAAAGTCAAACCTAAAAGAGACCACTTCCCCATTCCCAAGGGTTGGTCTTTTTCTTTTGCAAGAGATAACATGTCTGTAAACAATTTAGGGGCATGGTTTAGAAAACCTAGAGGAATGAGGGTGTTGGGGGGGGGAGAGAGAGAAGAGACATCCCCGGAACAGAGATTTCTGCCACTAGCACTTCCCAGTGGAGCAAGAGAAGTAACTACTCCTGCTCTCAAACATTTCATTTTACACCAGCAGTGCTGCGTTGGGTCACTCACGTCGCAGTTTGCTCTTCCGCCATTACCACACCTCTGTTCCCGCAGTGTCTGTGATTGGGGGGAGAGGGGGAGAGAGATAAAAAAAGAGATAAATTAGACACACTGTGCTTCCAGGGAGTGTTTTGGGGGGCAAGGAAGGGGAGAGATGCTGTGTCGCTCACCAAGTGCTTGAACTCTGCAGAAAGGCTCCCATTGTTGGACTCCTCCATATTCATCACTTTGGTGTTTGTGCCCAGGATGTTAAACTTCCGGGACCTTGATGGGCAAAGCGGGAGGGGAAAAAATGGGGGGAGTGTCTTGAGTGAGTTTTAGCATTTAAAACACCATTATTAACCATCACCAACCCCATCTGTTAGAATGTAAAGAGCAGCTGCCCTGGATCAGACCAGTGACCCGTACTCACTACGGCCAGCCAGAGGCTGCAAGCAGCTTTCAAGCACTAGAGCACTCTCCCAAAATGCAATTCCCAGCTAAACCGGTGTTCAGGGACATCCTGTCTCTGGCACATACAAGCCCCTGACCGCCCTCATCTTCCCTGATTTTGCCTAACCCTCCTTTTATTAAAGCCATCCAAGTTTGTGGTCATTTTGCGGAAGCAGATTCTGCAGCTGCACCCCACCCCAGAAAACACGAGTGGTCCCCTTCTTTGCAAGCCTTTGGAAACAGCATTTTCCCAGCTATTTCCCCCAACAAAATGTTGATTTTTATTTCGGTCTGCTTTTTATTAAGTGCTTGGTTTTAATGGGTTTTAACTGGATGATTGTTTTGCCTTGCTTTTTACAGCTATTGCCTTGAACGTGGTGGTGATGGGGCGCCATTGTACCCTAAAAGGCGATTGAGTATCTGAATATAATGATTTAAAATAAAATTATTTTACTTCTAATGAAATGATCCTGCCCTCCTCCTCCCAAACAAAAGTGCAGCTGCCTGCAAACCATGAGATGCATCTCAGCAGAGAGGAAGCCACAGGGCGCAGTGCCTTTAACTTACCCCCGGAGGGCAGCAACTTCACCGGAATCCCTGTGAGAGGAAAAAGAGCAAGAGAGTCAAATTGGCACGTTCAGATTCGGCTGCTGTACACAGCAATCAGAAAGGGCTTGCAGCAGCGCCCATCTTGGGTGCTATGGGGCCCTGTGTCAGGCAAAAAGCTGGCACACCCACACACCCCACCTCGAACTGCCTTCCCAAAGGCAGGTAAGGAGGCTTCCGGCTTTGGGAAGGAAGCGTGAGGCTCTGACAGGGTCCAAGAGCCCTCTGACCTCCTTCCCAAACTGGGAAAGTGCTATCTAGGCTTTGAGAAGGAGGTGAGAGGTCCAACGCCCAGTGCCCAACTTACTGGGCTTTGAAACGGCTGCCCCCCCCTTGGCTCAGCACCTGTAGTGTGTGTGCACACCGCTTGACCAGCCCTAAATTCCACCTACCCCCTGCAGCAGGAGGGACAGGGTGTGGTTTGGCAGAGAAGTCAGCATAATAATAATAATAATAATAACAACAACAATGCCATCACTGGAAGGTATTAGAGCAGGGGTGGCTAGCCTGAGGCCCTCTCCGCTTCTTGGTGGACTACAAATCCCTGTCACCCCCCCCCCCCGATTACTGGCCAAGCTTGCAGGCGCTGGGGTCCAAGTGGAGAGGCCAGAGATTTCTTCACCCTTGCATTTGGAGGGGGGGAAGGTCTTGGGGCTCTGTGGGGCAGAGATGAAAAGAAAGGGCTTCCTCCCTACTTTTAAGGGAATGCGGGTAGGCAGGCTGAAGATCAAAACCCAAAACCTGAGCCAAATCAATATTCATAATAATTAAAGGAATAATATTTGCAAAGGCCTCTCAAGCTGCTGCAGCAGCAGACAAGCTTTACAGGTTTGGGCTGTGCCTCTCCTCCCCTTCCAGGAAAGATCATTGCCACACTTTGGGATCAGAAGAACTGATCTCTTTTTCAGGATGGGCAGGGAGAGCTGGGTCAGTACCAAGGTGTTCCTACATAGGAAGCTGTGGTCACTGTGCTCTTCCTCTGGCACTGCTACGAATTAAGACATAGTTTTGGCTTAAGAGAGCTGTTCCGACTGGGGCTGGTGGTTTCTCTCCTCTGAATAAACTCCGAACTATAAAGAGCCCAGGGGCAAATCATGAGCTGCAAAAGATCCAAGGACAAACCTTTGTTACAGCTCATGGTCTGAAATGGGACAAACCATAGGAATGGATCCGGGTGAAACACTCAGGCAAACCAAGGCTCAGCTCACAGCGGCATAGCAGAATCAGAGGTGGAGCAAAGAAATCATGATCTACCCAACCCCCAGGAGACAGTACTAAGCCATGGTTTGGCCAGCGTGAACCAGAAAGTCAGTCATATATATTTAAAGGAACCTCTGCCCACAGTCCCTGCCCTCAAGTTTGTTCACGGAAAGGGTCCAGACCTACTTGTCAATGCAAACTTTGATTTTCAGCTGGTAGTTCAGCTCAGGAAATTTAACCAGTAACCTGCAGAAGTCAAAACTTCAAGTTAGCTTCCAAAAACACAAATCTCACCCTTTCTCCATGCACCCGTATCCCTCATATGCTATTCATATGCTCCAAATGGTTGGGGTTTTTTTTTGGGGGGGGGACCAGCTGGGCAGCTGCTGCCCCTTGGAAGGGGCACCAGGTTAACAAGTAGAACATAGTCCATGTCCATTGAAACTAGTTTCACTGTGTACAGATGCTTTTCAGGCAAGAGAGCTTCAATATATCACCACGGTGATGCTCAATCGCACTGTGCCTGAGAATCCCATCTACACCTTTTTTGGGGAAGAGGGGACAAAAAACAAGTTTCTAGGCTGCACCAACAAACTTGAAAATATGTGGGTATTGCCCACTTTAAGCCTCAGAAGCTGGAATGGGAGGCGGTTGTGGGTAGGGAGGAAAGAAAGAGAGGCTGAGAAGGATTCCCGACAGCACGTGGGGTTCCCTGTCTTTTTCCCACTTTGCCCCTCTCCCCAAGCCTAGAAGTAGATTAAAATTTGAAAAGCCAAGCACATATATGCAAAATCTGCATAATTTATACTGTTGCAGAATGCCTCTTTTCTGGCGCAGAATTTTAAGTGTAGAAGGTATGCAGAACATCAGAACAGCCTGCTGGATCAGGTCAATGGCCCATCTAGTCCAGCACCCCGTTCTCACAGTGGCTGACAAGATACCCCAAGAGGAAACCCGCACGGAGGACTCGAGCACAAGAGCCACTCTCCCCTCCTGTGGTTTCCAGCAACTGGTATTCAGAAGTACTGCTGTCTCCAAGTGTGGAAAGCAGAGCGCAGCCATCCTAGCTAGATTGACAGCCCTCTCCTCCTCCATGAATTTGCCCAACCCTCTGTTAAAGCCATCCAAGTTGGTGGCATATCACTGCTTCCTTCGGATGTGAGTTCCACAGTTTGACTATGGGCCACGTAAAGAACTACTTTATTTTATCTGCCCTAAGCCTTGCAAGATTCAGCAACATATAGCTGACCCTCCGCCCTATATAATGCATGCACACACACACACCAACAACTCACCGCACTTTTGTCGTGAACTGTACTCCAGTTTTGATAACCAGTGGGCGATCCGGGTGCATTGGCATACAGGGCTGGTCGCTCCACCACAAATGCACTGTGCGCGGGGTGGGGGTGGTAAGAGAGAGAGAGAGAGAGAGAGAGAGAGAGAGAGAGAGAGAGAGAGAAGTCAGTGGTGGGAATTGGGTGCTGGTCCAAACTTCCAGATTCAGCAGAAGGTTCCCAGATGAACACGCTCTCGGCAGCAGCATCCCACCCCGCAGCCTCAGGGGATGGCACCTTTCCCATACACGCAAGGGCAGCAGGCCAACATACCTCTTCATGAGGTTCCTGAATAGCTCCACGATGCGCTCCTCCAGCAAGGGCCGGTGCTGAACGATGGGGTCGCCCTTGTAGGAGACCTTCTGCTGGAGCTCCTCGAGCTTCTTGATCTGCTGGCGGGTCTGAAGCTGCGACTCGGCAAGGGACGTGATCCTGCGGCGAGGGAGAAGAAAGTGAGCTACATGCACGCGCACACACGTGTCTTAAAAAGAAAACAACACTACTGTGTTAACTGGACATTGTCTTGATAATGCTTTTGAATAGCTGTGCGCTCCCCTTTGGGAAACCTCACCAGTGCCATGTTCCATCCAAATCTATGCAAGCGAGGACCACTATGGCTCAGCTAAGCCCAGTATTTGCTCTGACAGGCACCAGCCTGTCCAAGGGCCAGACAGAGAGAACTGGAGGGCCGAATTTGGTCTTTGCCCGGCCTGTTCTGTCCTCCACATTAGGTCAATGCTGCTCTGTGGCTCCTAACACCCTCCTCTGCTTTGAGATGTATTAAAGTAAGGACAATCCACTCTCAACCAGATTCTCGCTTTGTAAGCCTTGGAAGGTAGTAGGCAGTCAAGGGCCCTCGGCTCTCACCAGTTCTCTAGGCGGTCAAGGCAGATGTTGGGTGGGCCACCGATGCATGCGATCTGCTGCCTCCTCTTCCAGTCAGCCAACTCGTCGTCAACCAGCGTCTTCTGCACGTACTCCATGGCCGACAAGAGCCCAGCCAGCTCGCTCACAATCCCCTAGGTGAGGAAGGAAATAAGCAATGTTTAGGCCGCCATTCCGCTTCCCCTGTCTACATGCAAACTTGCCTCTGCATGGTTTTCATGTATGATAACGGTGAACAACAGAGGAGGAGACTTTTGCATCAAGTAAGGAAATCTGAAATGTTGTTGTCTGAAATGGAGCCAGCTCGCACATTCAGCAGCAAGTCACCTGGCCAAGAGACGAGGAGTTAAATAATCATGGGTGTGTGACTCGTCCCTCTTAGAGACAGAAAGGCAATGCTATAAGCATCAATGTTCAGCATGGAGGAAGCTCCATGCTAAAGCTGGATGCTTTTCTCCCGGGCCACTTGCTGCAAAACCAGGCATACCCCCCATCATTCCACCTTAGTCGATAGCAGTTCAGGTGGGGTTTTTTGGTGTTGGGGAGGAGCCGCCCTTACTTACCCTCCGCATCTGATCCAGGGCTGTCAGCATCTGCTCCAGCTGCTGCATCTTCTGCCGCGTCACCGACTGGTTGTTCCCGTTCAGGTCCTGCATGTCTAAAGAAAAGCAGCGGGAGAGGGGCAGGGAAACATGTCAGAGGCTCCTGGAGTTTCTTAGTTCTTCCCCTCTGCACACCTGTTTTGGTCAGCCTAATTCAGATGCTGTTGGGGACTCCCAGCTCCCACCTGTCCCAGCCAACATGGCCCAACGGCCAGGGATGGTGGGAGCTATAGTCTAAAGCAGGCATAGGCAAACTCGGCCCTCCAGGTGTTTTGAGACTACAACTCCCATGATCCCTAGCTAACAGGACCAGTGGTCAGGGATGATGGGGATTGTAGTCCGAAAACATCTGGAGGGCCAAATTTGCCTATGCCTGGTCTAAAGCAACAGGTGGAGGGGCACCAGATTAAGAAAGGCTGGCCTAATTCCTCTTTAGGCATTTGGGCATCCTGTTCCTCTTCAGCAGCCCCATGTAGGACAGATTCGGGAGATGATGGGCATCATGTTCCTGGTGAGAACTGCAGCCAGTCTACAAGGTTCACAGGGGTGGTGAACTGGATCTGGCCAGCAGGCCAGATTATTATCTTCACCCACCCACCCTCTGCATGCCAAGTGTGACAGGTGTGCGATGGTGTCAAGTGAATGACGTTTGCCCACGCAAAGTTGCAGAGCTCACGTGAAAGTGTGATGCCCGGCTATCAGTTCGCTGGTGTGTATTTTGGAGCGCTGCGCAGAGGGCTTTGCAAGCCCCTTTTGGCTCAGCACATCCTTACCTGCCCCGCAACCCGACATCGGGAGTGACTGTGGCTTGGCAGAAATGCCCTGGCAGACCCAATGCTGAGGCCAGGCATGCCTCGTGAAGTCTGCAGGCCAGAAGCTCCCCTGATCTAAAAGGAAAGTTAAGCGCCTGGGCTGCACGAGCACCCTTGCTCCCCAAAGGATGAGGACAGAAGGGCATCTCCCCATCCATGAATTTGCCGCGATGGAAAAGCTGTTATCCCCTTTTCCCCAGCAAGCTCCCACCTACCGCCTTGACTCTTCAAGGTCTTGTAGTTGAAGTCAAAGTCATCCTGGAGGTTTTCCACCACTTTCATCTTTTGCTCCAAGTCCTGCAAGAAAAAGCCAAGGAATAGGAGGTTGGGGAGGAGTCACAAACTCTAGGCAAGCTTGAAACTTTGGAGCAAGAGAGAGAGAGAGAGAGAGAGAGAGAGAGAGAGAGAGAGAGAGCAGCTCTCCCACCTACCTGCACCCTTTTCCTGACATCTTGCAAGTGTTGCTCCAGCATCTGCTGCTTCTCCGTCACCACAGCAGCCGTAGGGTGGTTTGCCTGCCCACCTTGCTGTATTAAAGCGGGGAGGAGGAGAGAGATAAGACATTAAGAGATTTAAAGTCATATAAAAGAAGTTCATAAATCAGTTTTGGCCAAGTATAAATGTAATAAACCAGACTTTCTGGCTTACTGTGACTTATCAGGAACACACACGTGAACGTTGAGCTCTGGTCACCGGTCCACCTGGCTCGGTATCGTCTGCCTGACTGGCAATGGCTCTCCTGGATTTCAAGCAAGGGACATTCCCAGCCCTGCCAGAGCTTGGATCGCCTACTCATCCACTGAGCTGTGTGTCCCTTTGCCGGGTACATGCTATCAGGTTGGTCCTCCCTTGCTCCTCCCCAGTGTGAACAGGATAAAAACCCCCTGGAGGCTCTGTGGTTTCCTGCTACATCCGAATCTGGGACTGGTTGAATTTTTGTTCCCACACAAGCCACAAATCAACAACTGAACATGGCTTCGGGTCATCAAATCAAACCAAACCAAACATTTGGGCATTAGCAGGAAGCATCCTGGCTCACCTATCCCCGTTCCTGCCAGGAAGGTGCAAAGCAGGAGCAATCAGGCAGCATGCCTTGGCACCTGCCTCATTCCTAAACACCGCAACAAGCCAGCCAGTTTAGAGGTGGCAGCGTTTTCCCCTGGGGGGTGTCTGTGGAATTGTCTAGCCAGCGTTTTGTCACGTCTTGTCAAAACAGGGGACACGCTGGGAGTTAAGCAGAGGTGGAAGTGCTAGCAGTGTTGGTTCCACCAACATTGCCCCTGTATCTGGCAAAGGGCTTCTCTCTGACCCATGGTATGAGACAGGCAGGGGGTTCCTTTTATTAAGCATCTATCCTACCTTTTCATGCATATTTCAACCTGCATCTGCAGGGAGTTCCGTTCCCCAACACAGATTGGGATGACGACACACAGCAAAGGAACACCTGACATTTCCGCCTGTGCCGTTTTCATACTGTAAGCACCCTTCCTCCCCCCTCCTCCCCCAAACCCCTGCTATTTGCTTCTGAAGGGGCCACTGCAGCAAATTACACCTTCTGGAGAAAACAGCAAATGAGAAGGAGGGAAAGCCAGCCTCCTGCTGCCCTGCTGTTGCCTTGATCCAGACTGAGGCCCTTCACGGCTGCAATTTCTTTTATTCTTTTTAAGAAGAGCAAACCTGGGAGAGACTATCACATGGTAAATACATTCTGATCCAGACTGAGACATTAGCAAATCAGAGTAAGCGCTGAGGTGTCCACAGAAAAAATCCTGATGAGTGCTGGGGATGGCATTTAAAGACCTCTTTGACTTTGCCTAGGAGAAAACAGCTGAGCTGCATAATAAAAAAGGGTGAACAAGAAGCCACGGGGTGTGGGTGTGTTGACTGAACACCCAGAGCTGCCTAGCATTGGCCACTTGCACTCACTCACCTCTGAGTGTGCTCACTCAAGGAAAGAGGATAATGTCAGTGCAGGAGCTCTTTTGGTGCTGCTTCCTCCCACCCACCACCCACCCCCATGGTGAAGCTTCAAGCTGGCACAGGCCAGCGAGCCATTTGCTCTGCTCAGTAGCATACAGCTGCACAGGCTTGTCTCATGGCAAAAGGAAATACTGTGCTGAATGATTCACCCTGGGGGGCCAACACCTGCAAGACCACGCTGCCTTTCAACCGTTCCAGCCACAGAATTAAAAAATGGCTGCATTTCAAACCCGAATGCAGAAAAGAAATATTGACAAGGGAAAAGCTCAAGGCGTGTTGCGGCAACCGAGGCAAAAGCGTGCAGGGACCCGTTTTAGGTGGTGTGTGCTACCCTAGCTGCGAGGCACTGCTTCCTGGCATGCAAAGGTGTAGGCTTTGGAAGAAACATCAAAGGAAAGGCCCGTCCATCAAGCTTTTTACCCCTTATAACCCAAGGACAGGGAACGGGTTGGGCCTCCCAATTCCCGTCAGCCCCCGCCAGCATGTTCAATGGATGGTGTGTGTGCCATACTCCCAACAACTTTTGGAGGGTCCCAGGTTTCTCCCTCCCTGCTGCAAACAGCAGTAGCAGCATATGGACACAGGAGGATGCACTGATTACGGTGTATTTGCACCAAGAGCCGTCAATGTGATTCACTGCTTGGCTCGTGTTCTAAACACCCACGCGGCTGGCGAGTCCCTTACAGGAACTGATGGCAACAGTGGGACAAGCTGCTCCCGACAGCATCCTCTCACCTGGGCTGCTGTGGCTGCTGTCTGCAACAGCCTGTTCTCCTCCCAGAGGCAGCGGGCCACAATGCGGGCAATCTCCATGGGCTTCTCCAGATACCTGCTCTGTAAGAGAGGAAGAGGAATGGGAATGGAATGAATGACCGCCACACACAGAGAGCAAAACCTAGGTGAAGATGCCAAGCTTTTCTTAAGAAACCCAGCCTTGATTTGGAGGAATGCAGCAACTGGGCAGTTAGGCACTTCTTCTATGGGAGCACGTAAAAGAAGTGTTACGTGCTGGTTTCAGATTCAGGGCAGCAGGTGAAAATATATGCTGGGCGCCCAGCATGAGCAGCCGAGAATTTATGTCCAACAGGATGTCATCGTAAAAGCTAAAATAAGCCTGTCGTGGGCATTGCTCCCAAAGTTCAGGGCTCAACATCTCTCTTTAATCTGTGCTATTAAGAGTTCCCTAAACCATCAAACCATTCCATCAAATTTGGCCTTGCAAATTTCAGCGACGCTCTGTGCAAGGACAAAATTCAACGCTCTCCCGCCTTCCTACTCTTTCAAATAGTTTGCAATAGTTCCTATAAATCCAACTTAGTAGCCATCACTTGCTCTCTCCTCTATGGCTCTGTCCAATCCTCTTTTGACGCCATCTAAGTTGGTGACCTTCATCACTGCCTCCTGTCAAGAGTGGATTGAACACCATCATTCCCAGACACTTCCATCTCCCGAGTTTTATGACTTGGGTTGGCACTTTTTTGGGGGGGGTGCGGGTGCCCACAAAACACAAGACCCTCCCAAACCCAGGACCTGCCAGCTGCTCCCACCTGCAGGAACTGCTTGATCCGGCGCAGGTTGTGCTGGTAGAGGACATTGGATTCCTGTAAGAAGCGGCTGTACTGCTGGTCAATTTCACCCAGGAGGTTGTGGAACACCAACGTGGCGTGGGACTCCTTGCTGGCAGCATAGGCCCTGTACAGATCGGAAGGAAACAAAGCTTAACGAAAACAGCGCCCGGAGAATGACAACAAACAACAACACTGCAGTGCCAAGTGCTCCCTCTACACACCAGGCCACGTCCGCACCACACATTTGAAGTGCTATTATAATACTTTAACACAGTCAAGCCACAGAGCTGCAATTCTGCATATTTCCATTGGTTCTGATCATGTCAAAGTTGCAGGTTCGATCCCTGTTACGGGACAGCTGCATATTCCTAGACTGCAGGGGGTGGACAAAATGATCCTCAGGGCCCCTTTCAGCTCTACAATTCTGTATGATTCTCAGAAGGGTTTAGCAATCAGTCCCCCTTCACAGGGAACCCTGGGAATTGTAGCTCTGGGTGGGGAATAGAGGCTCCTAGCAACTCTCTAATGAACTACAGCTCCCAGAATTATTTAGGAGAAGTCATGACGGTCTAAAATGGCATCAGAGTGGGATTCCCATCCTCCTATGCCCCAACCAGCCAGCATTCTCAGGTCCTCATTGGGCTGGTTTGGGGTATCAACACTCACATCTTTATATTCCCCCGCTCCCCAAAGTGTTTTCTGTACTTCTGGACACTAATCCAAGCTTTGGCTTCATAAGCAACAGCACCTCTCAGTCACAATGTTGGAAACGGAGGAGGCGATTCCGGAGGCCAGGAATCTCCTCTTGGTTTCATTCCACGAATGCCGCTTCTTCCATTAGAAACAGGAAGCGCAATTAATATCAGGAAGCTTCTGTATGTTTTTCAAGAGGCAAAAAGGTTTCTGGGAATTTCCAGCAAGTCTTGCAAGAACGTAATCAAGAGCAAACTCTCGCTCAAGAGAATACGCCCACAAAGTGAAGGTTCTTGGAAATCTCAGGATTTCAGCTATAAGCCACATTGCTTTATCATAATAAAGAATTTACAGGATGCCAACTGGAAGGTCATGATGGTTTGAGCATTTAGATCAGGGATTAGGAGCTTGTGTGTGTGCCTCCCCCCATGATATTGTTGGATTCCAACTCTCATCATCCCTGGCCATTGATCGTGCTGGCTGGGCTTGATGGGAATTGGGAATCCCAACAGCATCTGGAGGGTCAAAGATTCTCCACCCTTGATCTAGATCATTAAACCAGCAGCCTGTAGGTTAGGTTCAATCCCCAGAGCAGTTTTGCCTGGCCCTCAATGTCTCTCTGCAAAATTTTGTTCAAGTTGGTGTTTAAAAAAAAATGCAAGGAAGAAAGATTGCAAGGAAGAAATACCGGTAACTCCACACTTTCATATTACATCATGGAGCAAACAGCACAACTCCTCCTCAGTGACCTCAGCTTCCTCCAGAGTGACCCTAGGAGCTAATCCTCATGGCTGATTTCTCTCTTTTCACTCTGATTGGCTCCAATCAGCACAAAGTGAGAGAAGACTTCTTCTCAGTGGCTGAAAAGCTCCCTCTTTCATACTGACTGGGCAGCACTAAGACTCTATAGAGATTGGGACCTTGCTTCAATGGTGACCCTCCACCACTAAAAAGCCTCTTAGCTTGATCATGCATATGGGGGTCAGTTTGCATAGTGCAATACATGCATGGCCATGCTCTGGGTCTCCAAGAAGAGAGAGGCTGAGCACCCCTGGATCAACCAATTAAAGAATGGCATTTTACTGTGCAACAAAATTCGTTTCCATCAGAGCACCCCCTTTTAATTTTTCCTATGTTGATTTGCAGAGCTCTGGCATTAGGAAAGGATCTCACTCAAAGCCAGCCAGTCAATTTCTCTGTGTGGGTGTAAAGGTAAAGGTAAAGGGACCCCTGACCATTAGGTCCAGTTATGGCCGACTCTGGGGTTGCGGCGCTCATCTCGCTTTATTGGGCGAGGGAGCCGGCGTACAGCTTCTGGGTCATGTGGCCAGCATGACTAAGCCGCTTCTGGTGAACCAGAGCAGCGCACGGAAATGTCGTTTACCTTCCCGCTGGAGCGGTACCTATTTATCTACTTGCACTTTGACATGCTTTCGAACTGCTAGGTTGGCAGGAGCAGGGATCGAGCAACGGGAGCTCACCCCGTCGCGGGGATTCGAACCGCCGACCTTCTGATCAGCAAGTCCTAGGCTCTGTGGTTTAACCCACAGTGCCACACAGGAACAAATACTGAGAAAAGTGCAATGGCTCACCAGTCCTGGCTCTCTATCCAGGGCGCAAGGAACTGCCGCAGCTCCATCGGAAAGCTGTCGCTGTAGAGCTGGTGGAGCTGCTCCAAATACCGGGTGTCCAGCTGCTGCAGCTGGTTCCACTGTGCCATCTTGGCCACTGAATCTGGAAACCTAGGAACACACAGAACATTTTTCTTTTTTATAAGCAAGTTGCTGCACCAGGCTATTTCCACCAAGATGGAACACTTCCTTTAAAAGTCGTAAATGCAATTGCAAACCAGCCTAAACAAAGGGTTTCTAAATAAATAACTAAATAGACAGACATTCCTATTAGTGATTCATAAATGCATTTTTTCATGTCAAGTTAAACTACATCCAGGTTTTTTCCTCAGAGTTTAGGTGTGGGGAAACTTGGGCCTGTGGGGGCTAAATGTAGCCCCTCTCACCGGTCCTTGGGACTCTTCCTGGCCACGCCCCCTCATGCTTTCCCCTGCCAGAATGGGTCCTTGCACAATGACAATACAGTGGTACCTCTAGTTAAGTACTTAATTCGTTCCGGAGGTCTGTTCTTAACCTGAAACTGTTCTTAACCTGAAGCACCACTTTAGCTAATGGGGCCTCCCGCTGCTGCTGCGCCGCCACCGTGCAATATCTGTTCTCATCCTGAAGCAAAGTTCTTAACCTGAAGCACTATTTCTGGGTTAGCGGAGTCTGTAACCTGAAGCGTATGTAACCTGAGGCACCACTGTATCTCTTCCTTGTTTTGATGGAGCATGGAAAAGGAGATGTGTGTAAGACTTGTGTGGCTGGTAGATAGCCTCTACTGCAGACTTCCTCAACCTCGACCCTTCAGATGTTTTTGGCCTACAACTCCCATGATCCCTAGCTAGCAGGACCAGTAGTCAGGGATGATGGGAACTGTAGTCTCAAAACATCTGGAGGGTCGAGGTTGAGGAAGTCTGCTCTACTGTATCAAGATAAAAGTCCCTTCCATTGTTTCTAACCACTTTTGTCTTAGAAACACCCACTTCTGGCTTGTGGCTCCTGGAAGGTTCTGCAAAAAACTTCCAAGTAGAAAAAGGTGCCCCTCCCCTATCCTAGTCGCTCAGGATGATTAGTTCAATGACAGTACGAAACCGAAACCATGGCTTCTTAACGCATCAGCATGACGTCCTGCTTAATCTTTACTTCAGACCAGAGCTTGGTAGGGGTTTTCTTAGTGGTGGTGGGAGTGTGCAGATTTATACATTAACTATAGTCTTGTTGCATTCTCCTTCCTTTCCTATTGTTCTCGCTGCTAATGTCTGTGAAGTAATTACCACAGGTATGGTATACGTTTCCCCAGAAGCAGGGCATGATCTTAATTTGTACTATGTTGTATCTGATATAGCTATCTGGTGCGCAAATCTGAAGCTAACAACAGAAAGAAGCCACGCGAGCCTCCCAGATTACTGTGTCTTTAAGAAGTGTCTGCCTAGATAATATATCAGCCATGTAGCAGCACCTCAGCTTTGATCTTCAAAAGTGGCTTAAACATTCCACACAACTGCTGTAGCCCCTTCATCCATTTTCAGTTGGAATCTCAGAGTCAGTGCAGATTTTACTGCAGCTGCACAAATAACTCTGCTGACCCAAGTGGGGGAGATCGGCAAGGAATCCTGACTCCTCCACAATTAACAACAGGGAGGCAAAATGGTTGCCTCGAGCCACCTTTGCTTCTCCCTATACTGTTCTTTTTCTTGTTCTTAAATTTTTCTTCCTTTCTTCGGAGACTAAAAGAAGCAGAATAGCTTTGTAAAACAAATTTGTTTCCGTTTGCTCCGATTTTAAATATTGTATATTTAAATTGTAGTAACGCACCCTGGGACTCTGAGGTGAGAGGCAGGGTAAGAAAGAACAACAACAAGAAGATAAATAATCCTAAATGATAAACACATATGATTATTTGCATCCTAGAATTCACTTTCTTTAGCAGAGAATTATCAGTGCAAAATTCTGGAGGCTGCCTCTGCATGTTGCTTTGTTTATACAATGTACAAAGCAGGGGATGTTAATGGGTTGTTGTTTTTATTTTGTTTATATATATGGTGTTTTTTATGTTGATCTTTTCTGTGTGATAGGAATTTTGAGGTCTTAGATATATGTTAAAATGTTCATTAGTGTACCAACCAAGCACATCCATAGATCAGCACAGGAAGACCGACCTGGAACCATTTTGATTCCCAAGCTGTCCCAAACTGACCAAATGTTTTCTCTGCAAGGTCAAAGGAAAATGGAAAAGCCTCCCCATTGTCTTTTCCTTCACAAATCCTGTCTTAAGGGTATGTCTGTGTTTGAATAGGGTGTGATTCTGTGACATGGCTCAGGAACTAAGTATTTATCATTACAAAAGACTGGCCAGGCTACCCAGGCAATCCAATCAAGTAACCTGCCAGACAGGAGATAGACCAGTGTTTCCCAAACGTTTTTGGGCAACGGCACACCTGTTTACTGAAAAAAAATCTCGCGGCACACCACCATTAAAGCCCCGCCCCGTGACGTCAGCGCGCAGCGTCACGCCGGGAGGGACGCACAAAAGTGAAAGTTTTTTCCCTCCCCCTTGCTGGGGAACCTCCAAGCTTTGGGGGTGGGAGGAGGCAGCAGAGCGAGGGACTGAGGGACGGCGGCAACTGAGGCGGCGGCGGCTGAGGCAGAGCTGGGAAGGGGGTTTCCAGGGGACACGGCAGCTCCTCGAAAGGCTTCTCTCAGCTGCGCTCAATCCGCCTCGGAGAGGATTTCCCCTCCGGTCCCATGCGTTCGTTTGGGGCATCGCTCCGGCTGCTCCCTCTCCCGCCGCGCAGGAGCGATGCCTCTCTCTGGCTCTCCCTCCGCGCAGGCTGAGGGAGGGAGGGAGGGGCGCGTGTGACCCGTCTCTGCTGGGAGACCAAACCCAGCGAGGCAGAGTCGCGCGGAGGCGCCCAGGCAGCGCTGCCGGCTGCGAGGAGGAGCGCCAGGCAGCAGCAGGAGGCGCGGCCTCTCCTCGCCGCCGCCGCCCCGCCTCTCGCCGCCCGACTCGCCCGCCTCCCTCCAGGCATCTCGCGGCACACGAGGCAACGTCTCACGGCACACTCGTGTGCCGCGGAACACCGGTTGGGAAACACTGAGATAGACAACGACAGGAGAAAAACAACATTCAAATTTCTGTTTTAAGACCGCCTTTTTTGTGATGTAGGTATGATGTATCTGAGGGGTGGTCTTAGGTTACACCCCTTCTGTGATGTATGAAGTTTCTGGGGGTGGTCTTGATCTACAGGGTGGCAATTTCAAAAGTCTTTATAAGGCCTTGCACGCCATTTTTCTGGGTCCCTCCTCTCTCCTGCGGGTGAGGGGAACACCCTGTTGCAACAGATCAATAAAGATCAAGCATACTAACTGCTTTGCTTCTCAATATTCTCTGGTTGGCCTCTGTTATTTTCTCCTACCAATAGGGAACCTATGTAAGGACTCTATATGGGCTCTTGGATACCCCATAAGGGAAAAGGGCAATTTTTGTTTACAACATCTCTGAACCGCCCTGAGACCTCCAGGTATAGGGTGGCATATAAATTCAATTAATAATAATAGACATACAGTGGTACCTCTGGTTACAAACGCTTCGGGTTACAAACGCTTCAGGTTACAAACTCCACTAATCTGGAAGTAGCATGAACTTTGCCCCAGGATGAGAACAGAAATTGCATGACGACGGTGGGAGGCCCCATTAGTGAATGCGCATCTCAGGTTAAGAAAGGTTTCAGGTTAAGAATGGACCTACGGAACGAATTAAGTTCGTAACCCGAGGTACCACTGTACAAGGTGGGAAAAGCTAACAATAATCCACAGCCAGATGTACGAACAATCTTGATACTCTCCACCCCTCCTGCTTTCCTGCATGCAAGATGACTTAGGCTGCAATCTCATATCCACTTTCCTGGGAGTAATCCCCACTGAATTTAAAGTGGACATACTTCTGAATACAGTGGTACCTCGGGTTAAGTACTTAATTCGTTCTGGAGGTCCGTTCTTAAACTGAAACTGTTCTTAACCTGAAGCACCACTTTAGCTAATGGGGCCCCTGCTGCCACCGAGCCGCCGGAGCCCGATTTCTGTTCTTATCCTGAAGCAAAGTTCTTAACCTGAAGACAATTTCTGGCTTAGTGGAGTGTGTAACCTGAAGCGTATGTAACTTGAAGCATATGTAACCCGAGGTACCACTGTACAAATATACAGGTGTGCACTGCAAAAATTCCTTTGCTGGGTCAGGCCACTTAGCACAACGCTCATTTTCAAGAGTGACCAGCCAGATGCCATGGGAAGCGCATGGATTGAGCAGAATGTAACAGTCATGCCCTGTTCCAGGCTACCAACAATCACTTTTTCCCTCCTAAAAAGTAAGGGGAAATGTGTGTGCGTCTTATGGAGCGAATGCAGGCTGTGCAGCTATCCCAAAAGCCAGAACAGCAAGAGGGATTGCTGCTTTCACTGGGCAGTGATCCCTCTTGCTGTTCTGGCTTCTGAGATTCAGAATATTTTTTTTCTTGCTTTCCTCCTCCAAAAACTAGGTGCATCTTGTGGTCTGGTGCGTCTTATAGAGCGAAAAATACGGTACATTGCCTCTTTTCATGGAGTCTCCATTTGGTTTACCAAGGCTAATATCCACTCACAGGCCTCTCTTTCATAAATTGGGACTTTTGTTTTTAGTGGTTTCTTAGTGATTAGGGACTGTCCCTTTGTCCTAATGCAGCAAGCAGGTTCCCTTCCTCCCAGTGCAAATCAGATTTGCTGCATCCAGCAGCCACTTCCCTCTAACGAAGGAAACAAGCCAAGGCAGCACACAGGAAATCCCGCTTTGCTTCAAAGAACAAATTGGGGACTTGTGGCAAGGCAGAACTCGGTGCAGAAGAAAACCAAGATCATGACACATGCGGAACAAGCAAATATTTGGCAAACCAACTGTGATGAAGAGCAGAGTTGCAGTGAGCTCCACTAGGGAAATACCAAATGCTTGACCTCTGGAATTACTGGAGTAATAAAAGGTGAGCCTGAACTGCTAGGCCTGATAGAGATCTCAGCCTAACATAGCTTTTCCTCCAATCTCCAGACTCCCAACTATTACCAAACCCACTCAAAATGGCTAACGCTTAGGAATGACT